AAGCAGACAATGGATCAAGGGGATAGTAGTACCAGGTATTTTGTTTGTAGAGAATGTATATTTATAAATATAACACACAAAGAGAAGAGGAAGACTCAAAGGTACAGCAGAAACATAGCAATTAAGTAAATCATTTAGAAGGTTATGTAATCGCACAAAGATAAAACCAATGCAAAGGGCCTATTCCACCATCCCCAAACCTCCTCGATGCTACATTAGATGGACTGCATAGGTTCCTGTATCCCCAAAGTTACATCTCACAAGTGTAATGCTTTCTGAAAAATAAAACTCATGCTTAAAACCCGAGATAAACTTATTGTGCTGACACCCTGAATAACACGAGCTTTCAATGGCGTCTACAAAGACTGTCCTGGGCTGTTACTTACCCAAACCCCATTAGTGGAACCTATGCATAGACATATTTCTAATTTTGAGGTTTATAGGCCCCCTACTCCAACATCATAAATCAGAACTTATATTACCTAATTTAGAAGTAAAATGAAATGTATAAAGCTTTTATTCAACTACAGTCTTGAAGAGTGTATCCTCATAGCTTTCATACCTAATAGAATATAACAAATTCACACGGCTGTCACTGCAGACATAATGAATGTTATTTCATGCCAGTGTCCCTCACCCTTGCCTGCTGGCACCCCCTCCCCCCGAAGGCTTTTCAAAATGTATTTCATACACAGAGTCACTGTTCTGGTTGTTTATTTAATTAACATGACAGCCTAGCATACACAGCATTTCTTTCAGTTCTACAGTTTTAACTTTTTACACTTTAGACTCAATACAGAAAGAATTAGATTACTGTTTCAACCTCTGTAAATTTATATAGATTCACTGAGTATTTTTGTCAGTTAAAACAGTTTTTCAGTATGCTTTAAATATCTGTGTTCACAAATTAGAATCCCAATTTTATCCCTCACAGTATGTGGGGGGGGGGGCAGTGGGGTGGGGGGAGTGCTTTGGCCTCACTTTTCCCAAAGAATAAGGAAATCTTGGTTTTATTTTTTAGACTTTTCTCAGGTTGGTTTTAAGTGACTTTAATTCTGTTCCTACAACATAAATGATCAATATTGCTGGCTCTATCACTACAAGCTGAATACCAACTAGGCGAGTATGATGGACGTTACATTTTAGTTCTTAAAACATCATGCTTGTTTCTGCAATGTATTCATTTGACAGATATGTTACATTGCAATGTGCTTAGGAGCTTGAATCACAATATATTCTGTATTTATCTACGTCTGTATTTATATCTGTACTACATTAGCAAGCAAGTCATTCTTCTTATCAAACACACAAAGTCCCAAAGTCGCATGCAGTCCTATCAAGAAAGACCGCACCTCGGTCCCCAGTTTTGCTTGGTTGTCATTGTAATTCTTTTGTCTGTTTGGGGCTTGAATATATTTTTCTGATATTAGTGATAAAAATTTGTTTTGAGTTTCCATTAGCAGTCTCCAGATTATACTCTTTTCCTATATAAATGCCTACTGTTTTACTGAAGATGTTTAATTGGGTGCTTCGGGGAAAAGTCATGGGGAATAATTTTAGTTCTTTAATGACATCATGTAAAATATGTATCTGTCCATTTTTGACTGTGATTGCATCCATCACAAAGAGTTCCATCAGTAAGTCCTAAGAATGTATCATGTAAAGAAACAACCTTGTCATTACTGGCAGTGAAACCACAAGTAAAATCACACTGGATTCAAGCATGGAACTGAGGTGAAATGACAGTGGTTTGGAATCATTTAAAAAAATGAACATAGAAGGTGGCCACAATAATCAATGGAGCATTGAGGAATCACAGTGCTCGGTGGGGTGTACAGAGAATGCGAAGGCAAACCTTCAAATACAATTGCAGACGTTACAAATTTCCAGTTAAAAATTTCTGGTTGGAAAATAGCATTTATAGTTGCTCAATACCAAATAATAAAGAAGTTCTGAGTACCTCTAAGTGTTTATTCCAGTGGTTGGTGGTACAGTGTCAACTTAAGAGGGACACAACTCTTTCTCAGATGTGAATGTTCACTTAGAAAAGACACATGTACCTCAATGGAGGCACGTGCCTTCTTAACCTGCCAACCCCAAAAGTGCTATGACAGGCTCCCCACAAAACCCCCCTCAGGTTGAGAACACTGGCCTGGTAGGAATAAACTGAAAGCCACCCAGTTGCTAGGAACTCAGTTCTTTATTGAGAGGAAGGACACCTTCACTTGCATTCACAGACACACCCAGTGTCTAATGACTTCTCTAACAGACCACTGGACCTACTTCCCCTTCCTTTGTCGGAAGTCAGCTTTATCATTTGCAATGAAAACTTCAATTCAATATGCAATATGCAACCTGCAGATTTAATTATGATTTTATAAGCAAGAGAAGCAGTGGGGAGAAAAGTTTAAGTTTCTGTTGGTGTGTCTTGTGAGAATGTTACCAGACATTCTCCATGCCCTTTTAGAATTGGGAGCAAGTTTATAAGCAAGTGGCAACTGTCATGTATATGCAGAAGAAAATATTGAAATTTCCTCACTTTTAACCCTCATGACAAGCAGAGTTCAAATAAATTGAATCTCTAGTGGCTTTTGTCTGAGCCTCTGTGCTTCCTGCTTAAACCATTGTTTAAAATTCACTTGTTGCCTATGAATATTATATTACATTGTGAGTAGACTTTTTACTTTCTTCCAGAAAAGTATGCATAGATAATTAACACTCAGGAGAGTGTTTTATACTTGTTTTATAATTATTTTGATTGTTGGCTTCGTACAGTATGCAGATGATAGTGGTATACTTTGAACTCTTAATCAAAAGGATTTGTTCCCCATATGATAAAATAGATAAGCTATTATTATATTGCTCCTGAACTTTTCACACAGCTAGGCTGAGGTATGAGATAATCCCCTATCTTTCAGGATACTACTTTGTTCCTTCCGACTCACCCTTCAACCAACTAATTATACTCAGTAACAACTTGAATGGCTCATACATAAAAACTATCATTTTTCAGCAGCATTCACCAGCAAAACATTTCTTTTTTTAAATGCAATGCTCAGATATTTCTTTATAGAAGTTCACATATATTCAAATTCTCCATTTATTAATTCAAACCAGAGAAAGCAATTAAAAATCTGGGAGTTAATTAACAATACTGATTAATTCTCATTAACACCTTATCTTAAATCTAGATTTTAACTACCTATATCAATATGGAATTTCAGAAATTTAATTTCGGTGCCAACATGAAATCAATTTGGAGTCAAATTATTTTTTATTAACTCCCCAAAATGGAATTTTTCCTTAGAAATTATGGTTGGATTTTGCAATGACACATTTCTCTATAAAGAATTATGTGTCCTAAAAATCTAAGCTCCTGTTTTCATTTTCAAACTATTCACATGTCTGTGGAAATTAAGTAAAATGTATTTTCTCCATTACTGCTTTACCCTTAGGTAGATATTTTATTATGATCATTTCCATGTTTCTGCCTGTCTTATTGTAAATGCTTGGAGTAAGTTCACACCCGAAAAATATTTGTTTTATTTAAACAAAAAGCTAAATAAGTACATTTGTTTGAAAATAAACGGAGACCATGGTGCTATCATACACTCTGGTGAACGACACCAAACAACCACAGATCTGGGTAAGAACTCCATTTCAGAAAACAAACCTAGTCATCTACACCATATGGTGACTGCAATTTCTTAGAAGTGCTTCCATGCTTATCTATGGAGCAAAATTCAACAGGAAAACTTTACATATCTTAAAAATGTTCTTTCATTCCCTAAAGTTGTCAAAATCTTCACGCAAACAAGTATAAACTTCAAGGGAAAAGTATAAATTTCCACTCGCTTTGCATAACCAGCTCTCCACCACCCGCACCAAGTGTCAAGTTACCCTCAAGTTGTATCAAGGTGAACACTGCAGTTAGATACAATTTGTATTTGCCATTGAGATTGCTCTTTTACGCCCTTTATGGCAATGGCAAAAGAAAGATGTTGGCAGCCTGCTTGGCAGAACGATGTGGAGCCTTGTAAAGCTCTACTCTGTCCTCTATGAGGTTCCCTATGAGTCTCTCTTGACTTGCTGGCAGTAGATTTGGGGGACAACTAGCTGCCATCGTCTTAAAAACGTGCAATGTTCATAAAAGAATCCCACTATAAATTCACTAAATATTTACTTAAACAACTTAGTTCCAAATTCCTCCTCTGAGGAATTTCTGAGATACATCACTTGCAATTTAAAAAATATTCTCCACTTGAATTTTCAAATAGCCACTTAAAATTCGTTTGAATTTCCAAATGTACGTATGCAGAGACTTCTTTTTCAGATGACATCCATAGTGTGGCTCACGTGATTTTAACAAGTTCTATGGTTTATAAATCTTGTTCCTCAGCTTAACGTTTAGGGTCATGATAGAAAGCACACTAGCACATGCTCCCAAATTACATCTAAAACCAACCTGGGCACAATCTCGCTAAGCAAGACTTGCTGCAAAATTTGAAAGTGCATATTAAAATATCACCTTCAAGGATGTCTTGCTTTAGGCTCTAGAATCTTCTGATTTGCATAAACGTTTACCTGTCGTTTCCTGTGAAATAAGTTTTATGATAAAAGGAAATCTCATGGAGCCTACCACTTGATAAAATCACCCGCAAGGAAAAACTCAATTCAAAGATTTCTGCTGAGAGAAGAAAGGTGTGAGAGTACTTACATCACAGGGAAGTCAGATGCCAGGTGTAGCAGATCTAAAAAGTTGGCCCAGCTGAGAATGGCCCTGGAAAGGTCATCTATTTTGTTACTTATGCTTGTTTCTGTTGTCCAGGTGATAGCATACTGTGTGTGAAGGTGAGACAATCCCACCCGTTTTCCTACTAATCCTAAAGTTCCACCACTTTTCCAGGCTGTCTCCCTGTTGGTTCCCAGAGTTGAGATTCCCTTCACTCTGTGGCGGGTCCCAAGTGTTTCAAGTTTTCTAGAGAAGGGGCCAGGCTTACCTGTTCTCTCGGGATGCAGGGTAGGGAGGTCCTCCGGTGCGACTTGCTGCTGCAGCCAGACATCTCGCCAGACACCACGGAGCTGGACCGCCTCCTCCTCTTAAACACCGGGGTATCTTCCTTAGTCCCAGCAATCAGCTGGGACCCAAAGTGCTCCCTCGGAGCCGCCGGGGGCAAGATTTGCTCCACGTACCTGGCCAGGAGAATCCCCAGCACCCCAGCCAAGTACGCCAGGTACGGTCTCCAGGCGACCTTGAACCTCTCTAAGGAAAGGAGAGACACGGTCCTGACCGCGCTAGTCAAGGCGATCATGAGGACGCCCAGCCTGAGTCTCAGCCTCAGCACCAGCCATGTCGCCGCGGCCAAACAGCTGAGCACCACCCCAGCGGCTGGGAGCGAGAGTAGGTGATCCTCCCCGACGCCCAGCCCAATCTGCACGAGCGCTTCCCCCCCGCAGCAGGCGGCCAGCAGCGCCACGGCCCGAGGCGGACGCACCCCGGCGCGCAGGAGGTACAAGCCCATCCAGAAGAAGGCACACAGGAGACTGAAGAGCAGCGCCCAGGGCTGCAGCCAAGCGCTGCGCGGCGCGCCGCCCCTCGGAGCACCTCCCCGAGGCCCTGGGAAGACGCCCCCTTCCGCACCCGGGCCCGCCGCCGCCGCCGCCGCCCGGAGCTGCTCTGGGTCACAGTCGAGCTCCGCGCCGACCAGCCGCACCAGCAAGGCCAAGAGCAGCGGCAGAGAGCCGGCGCCCAGCGCCCAGGAAAGTTTCCGGGAGCGCCGCAGCGGCTGCAGCACCAGGTCGCCCCAGCAGCCGCGGCAGCCCGAGCCCCGCGGGGACGCGGGGCCAGCCCGGCGGGGGCAGCCTGGGCTCGCGGCGGGGGCTAGACTCACCCCGCCGGGGCTCGGTTTGCCCCCGCCTGGGGCGGCTTCGCGGGGCAAGGCCATGGTGTGCCCGCTTCACGGGCAAAGCGTGCCCCTCCTACCCCCCACCTCCCCAGATACTCGGACGCCGACTGGGACACTCGCTCTTCCCAGTCCCACCCTCCGAATCCCTGCTTCTTCGCTCCAGGCCCCGAGTCCCGACCCGGGATGTTCCAGCTTTGGAATAACTCCCGGAGAAGACTAGATGCTCCCAAAGAGACTCCTTCAAGTTCAAAAAACGCGCAGCAGCGGAGCCGAGCCAGAGCGGACGGTCCCCCTTGCTCTGTTAGTAAAGCTCGGGAAAATTCTCTACTCCTCCCCGCCCCCAGGGTCGACCCGGGGTCTTCCTCTGCTACTCGGGGAGGCTACCAGATTGCCCACCGCTTCCCGTGCGTGCGCCCGGGCTGCCAGCGCTGGCGGAGTCGCGGGCGCGCGGCGACTTCGGGGCCATCCCGGGCGCAGCCGGCTGCTGCGCCCCGGGCCGCGGGAGGTCCCCCCAGCGCTTCCTTCTCGCAGCTCTTTCTGGATCACTCTTTCCTGCTCCTCGGCAGATCCTCCCGGGCGCAGACCCCAGACGCACACCGCCATTCCCTGGGGCCGAACGGGAAGCCTCCCCCGCGTTGGTAGGTCCAGTTCATGGCCAAGAGTGGGGGGCGGGGGAATGGGAAAGGGGCTCCGAAATAATAACGAAGTTGCTAAGTCCAGCCCCAGGGAAACCCCCACCGGAGGCCTGCGCGCCGCTGCCTCGGGAGGTGGGAGGGGAAGAAAGGGAGAGAGCTGGAGAGGAAGGGAGGGCCAAGGGGAAAGGGAGGGTGAGAAAGCGCTGTTTTCCCCCTCTCACCCTCCTCTCCTTTTTGGTGCTAGGTTGGTGATGATTTGCAGTTTTGCAGAAGAAAAGCGAGCAGAGATGATTGAATAAAACTGTGTAAAAGGGGAGGCTACAGGAGTGATCTACAATTCCGCTTTCTTTCTCTTTCTTTCTGACAACTCCCTGGGAAAGCTTTCTCAGTACAGTTCCCCTGCCCTTCCCCGGAGGCGGCGCTGCTCTCTCTCCGTCCCGCTGCTCCAGTTCCCTTAGCAGAGCTGGGTCCGCACGTGCAGCACGCTGAAAAGGTAGCTGTGGCGGCCAACCGACCAACGCCCGGCTCCTCGCTGCCCTGGGACTCTGGAGCCTGCTGTTAGTCCTCTGACTGAGCTTCCTGGGACTTGGGGGGAGGGGAGGACGGGTGAAGATACTGTATTTGGCTGCTTGGCAGGGGCGGGGAGCCAACTAGCATGCTACTGTCATTAGAGATGACAGTTACATCTACTGTCTGGGTGATTAAAGATGCTCCTAGGTTCTCCAGTCAGTTACAACAGCAAACCAATCCAGGTGTCATTGTGCTTTGGTTGTTCGCATGAGAAGGTGTGTTTTCAAGCCTTTCTTGTTGGTCCACCTGGCAAGGAACTTCCCTGAGCCACCAGGGCATTATTGAGAAAGGGGAGGGAAGCCTTTGTTTCTTTTGTTTAGTTTTCTAAAGTAATATTGAAGCTTTAAAAAAAAGCAACCATATGCGTGTTTTTTTTTCCAATTTACAGTGGGATTAAGTTACCATCAATTTAAGAAGATATACCAAGATTTACACAAGTCACCAAGGAATGATGATGATAAAGACCATGTCAAGGAGGAGGTAAAGATGGATAGGTTAACACAATAAA